GTTTAAATTAGAGTCTTAAGTTCGGTGTTTCAATTGTAAACACAATTGGCTGTTGTTTCCTGTTGAAAGCTGGGAGAAACCTGTAGAAAAAGTATCTTATCTTTCATCTTACTGAGCATCCTCGTTCTTCCTTTTCCTTTTCTCAGTAAAATCTACATTTTTCTAGAGTGAAATGAAACAATGATGAAAGATGCCAAAAGAAAAACATCAGGAGCCTGAAATTGCCTGTTTCCTTGACAGAAGCATTCTCCTCTGGCAACTGCGGTGCTTTTCTTCACCTGCTCTGCTCCCTTAATAGCATATGCAGAGGTGCTAATGAGTTTAAGAATGAGCTCAGCGTATGGAAAGTAAATACATCTTGATAAAAAAAGTCTCTAAAAATTTGTGGAATGTAACTAGAGATAGATAACACTCCTCCAGTTTTTCACTGTTCCTATAGAGTGCCGTTATGGAGATAATCCTTTATCACATAGTATGGGAGAGTTAAAAGACCTATGCAAAGGTTGCCCTTTGTGAATATCTGTAAGTTTTTTCCTTAACAATTAAATAAATTCCTATGGAAATATTAAACTTTATATTATACATTATATCTCTATAAGTTTAGTCATTAACATAGAGAACTCTACAATAATGACTCAGGCTGCTATTTTCAGGGGGAAAAAATTACAACAGTGCATATGGGCTGAAAACACCTCCTTCAGAGGCACTGCAGTATTCAGGGCTATTTCACGTTACATCAGAGATGCCAGAATGTCTTGCACTGTTTTGCATGAGGCTCACTGTAAGGTTTTGGTCTGTAATTTTAGAATGCTGTGGTAATTTTTATACATTCGGTATTTTATGAATTATATATTTCTGGGAGGGAAGACAGGTTTTCATGCTCCCTACCTTTCTGTTTACCATTGCCTTCTTTCGTTACTTTGTTGTCTGTTTCTCTGCGTCTTTTTCCTGCCTGAAGCCAGATGGCTGATCTCTCCTTGCCACTTCTTGGTGCCTGAATGACCTTCCCTGGGTAAGACTTCCTGCCTGTGGAGGACAAGAAGCTTGCTTTCTGGTAGGATGGATTTTTTCCATCTTTCCTTCTCAATTTTCTGCTTCCCTCTTCTCAATTCTTAATCTTTTCTTTTTCTTTTTTTTTTTTCTTGTCTCCTTTCCACTACTTTAGGGCTAGACCTAATAAGGGATTTAATCTTCTAAAATGCACACCAGGGCCCAAACCTTGTCCACCTCGGATAGACACAACACCCCTCTTTGGTTTACACAGTGCAAAGGGAGAATCAGATGCCACGGACTGTGACCGTGATAGTACTGCCTATTCCTGCTATAGGATTTCTATAAGAGGGTGACCAAAACTCTACCTTCTGTGTAGGTAGTTTGAGTCTGTTGGGGTGCCCATGTGCACAGGAAGCAACCCTTCAGGGGCTTAATTAGAGGAATAACTTCTTTCAAGGTCCTAATGATGTTTAAGCAGAACTTGGGGAAAAATCAATGCCTTGTCTCTCCTATATATGAGGTCCTAGTTGTGGATGGAACAAAAACTTCTCATGCTCTATGTGTTGCAAAAGGAAACAAGCAGTTGCTCATGAGTTTGGACAGTTCTGTCACGAAACCGCAGCTGAGCCATTGCTTTTTATTACAGTGTTGGAGTAATGCAGAATTAAGGCACTGAAGTATTTATTTTTTCGACCTAGCCCTCTTTTAATATCTTTCCCCCCCACCCCCCTGCTTTGTACTTCTTGTCTTCCTACTCTTACACTTCAAGGCTCCTTCTCTTCCACGTAGTCCTAGCTTCATGGCTCTCATAGCTCTCAGCCTCCCATAGCTACCATTCATCCTTTCTTCTCTGTTTTCCCCTCGTCGTCAGCTGCTTTTGCCTGTCCCCTCCCTTCATGATAAGGCCACCTCAGCTCTCCGGTTTCTGAGATTTTCAGCCCTTAGCCCCAAACTCTGTTGTCCTTTTCTGTAGTAACCCCAGACTGAGCAGAGCATTTTCCTGGTTCTCTAGAAATTTCCCCTGCCTCCCTTTTTGGGCAAAAGAGCTGGCAAATTTCTGCAGCACAACATAGTGTTGTATTCAGTATAGATAGTACTTAGTCGCTGAAGTCTGAAAATGTAGGAAGGTGGGAGACAACTGTGAGAAACAGAAATGCCAGAAAGATGTGGAGGATTTGGCAGCCTTGTCTTTATGTCTACTGTGTTACCCTGCAGAACAGAATGGAAGACAAACATATGAATGTGTTGACGCTGAAGTTATTGGATGTGAGTCTTTGCTACTGAATTACTTAGGGGGATTTTTTAGTTTCAAGATACATTATTTTGTGGTTGTGCTGTTGTATTTAGTTTCTCCTCAAATAATAGTAAAGAAAAGTCACTATGCTTTAGAACTACTCCAAAACTCTTATCTTTAAAAATGCTCATTTCGTACTAGACTCCTTTGGCTAAAACTATGTCAGATAAAAGTGAATGCTGTCAGATTACCACTGCTTTGTATCGTCAGTCATTAGGAACCAGACCGTAGTCATGAACCTTTCATAAAAGCCATCATAAAAACACTGGTAGGAAGCTGGTTAATACCAATCTAACGCAGTTAGACAGAGCATCTTAAGAGTACAAACCTCTGCTGCCCCTTTTGTAACTACATCATCTGAACTATCCTTTTAACCATTATTATGCTGCAAAGAGAAGAAAATTCAAAGGCCTTTGGATGCAAAAAGTGAAAGTTATGAGGAAGTTGTCAGAACTTGTCAAAAAAGAGATACACTTTCAAAATCACCCTCGTTTTTATGCAGTATTGTGCTCACCTCTGATAGGAGAGAGTAGTATTGCATGCCTCCTTGCCTAACACTGCTAGCAGCTGCTCTCTGCGATTCACGGCATGAGTGCAGTCAGATGGTCTCATGTCTGCCACCACCAATACAAAGCTGAATACAGCTGGAATAACCATTACTGTCATTGCAAATCATGCCAAACAAAGCTGTTAAAAGTGACCTAAAAATTATCTCCTCTAATAAGTGTAATGTTGAATGTAGTATAATTACTATATAGAGAGAGTAGTATTGCATCCCTCTTGTAGTAATGTATACAGCATACTATGTAGTATAATGTAGTATAATCAGTTTAATGTTGACCTCTTACTACAATTAACCTCTTTAGACTGACTGAACTCAAAAGAGTGATTTCAGTAAGAAGAACAAGAACGAACTGTCATTTGGTGTAAATATACAGGGTGTCTTGCCCAGGAGGAAGAGTCAAACTGAGCACAGACCTGAATGCATAACTGATTTTTTTTTTTTTTGAACTGGAACTGAAGCTGAATCATTATTTGAAGTCTCTTCTGCCTGCCTGATGACAGACTCTGACTACACAGCCCTTAGCCAGGGGGAGAAGCAGGCAAGTCGGGCTCTCTCGCATTGCTCACTGTTTGCTGTTCTCCCGCGGTGGCCGGGGCAGCCCATGAGCTGGCTCCCTGCTCTCGCGTCCGGGCTGGAGACAGGCTGCTCTGCACATCGATGCTGGAGGCTCTGGAGAAGGAAGGAGATGGGAATGCAATCCTGTCCTTGCCTGGTACCCCATGCTGAGGGTCTTCTCCTGGCCTGCAACTCATAAATCTTAACAGTTACATGGTTCAGTATGAGCAAGTTCGCAGTGGTTCGCAGCTGCCAAACTGGTTAGCAAGCATTTACCAACCTGCAGCCGAGCTAAACTGCAACCGTGTTGTTAAATGTGGCAATTTATATCTCTTTCCTGACTGCAGAAGTTAAGAACACAAAAGTGAAAATGAATGTTTTTTTCTTTAGTAGGAGACAGTTAAGGGCTCAGACTTCATGGTTTTCAAAACCCTGAGGTAATAAACATTGCCACCACAATTAGATCACCTATGTTTGTGTTTGTCTTTTGGACTGATACTGCTACTTAGCTTTCATCCTTATACAAAAGTTATTTATCTCCACTGAAGGCTGCACGTGCTTTCTTTGTTCTAATACAGGAACAAATACAATGCTACAACTTTTCTTAGATAGTCCACTAATACCCGTATATGTAAAAATAGATTCTGTAGAGAAAAATCTGTTCCTAAATATATACACACCCAGTTAGGCCACCATTAATGTTGTGCATCATTAAGTATTAACCAGTGTAATATTATGATATGTGGGAAGGGATCCCAGACTGAATCTATTTTTGACCTGTAATGGTTGATTTACAATGACTTATTATACCAGAGTTCATAGGCTTGCTGATCATTGCTGAGCTGAACTACAATCAGGCAGTTCTAAAAATGAAGCCTGCAATTCTAACAGTGCCATTGAAGTTCCTTAACAGAGCAATGCTTGACCTTTTCAGCAAGTTCATTGGATTTCCTATGCAGAGGGAACTGGCACTTGCAAAAAGGGACTTACAACAGGGCAGTTCCACACAGTATGATTGCTGCATAATACAGCTATTGACCTCTAGTTGCTGGCTCTCAGCTTTTTATGAGTGTCTTCATATTGTGTTGCAATGCTGAAGATATTTAAAAGTCATCTTTGAGGAAATAATGGGAAACAAAATTACCAGTTAGCAAGGAGCCTGCAGGAAATAATATATGATACAAAAATGGTGAATAAGCCACAAAACCCAATCAGTTGGTCCAACTGTCAGCCACGTGTTGCTTTTAGAAGTGTGTCTAGGCCAAGGACCCACATGGGCTTTGCAACAGCTGTTCTGTTCTTCACAGAAGGTCAGTGTTTATAAATTGGGAAAGAAGGGGAGCCAAATATTGCTGTTCATTTTAAGGAACAGCTTCCCCAAGGTCAGTTTTGCCTGCAGTAAGAGTACCCGGATCTGGACCTACGCACAGGGATGTAGGTATATACAATAACAATAACCTCTGCTAGGCTGCAGGAACGTCTTCAGAAGAGTTTCCTTTCAAAAGCACTTGACAGTTACGTACAGATGTGATTCTGCTATGTAACGAATACTAATGAAATATTTAACAGCTGGTTTTTGTTTTTGTTTTGCAGGAAGAAATCATTCCTATTTTCAGCTCTGTATGCTGCCTTTATATTTGGTGGTCGGCACCTAATGAACAAACGAGCAAAATTTGAACTGAGGAAACCACTAGTGCTCTGGTCCCTGAGCCTTGCCGTCTTCAGGTAGGCCTTTCTTTGCACCAAGAGCTTTTGGCAATAGTCTGTGGAAAGGGTTTGAGGTTCTTCAGCCATAACAAGAGTGCTAATATGACCAAAAGCTCATCCAGAAGTGGCATTTCTTTAGTTCTGTCATTCAGGGTTGAACCCCTGAAATGGTCCTCTTTGACTTGCCAGATCCTATGACATTTGAAGAGGAGAGAAATTAATAACTTTCTTGAATAGCAAAGGTGAAAGTAAAATGAGGAAATGAGAGAAAGCACATAATATCATTGCAACAAATTTACCAGGCAAGCTACAAATGGAAATAATCCCATTAAGATGTTAGGCTTGTTCTCTCTTACTAGTTTGTATTACATTTATATGGGTGTATATATGGAACATTTAGTCAAGACTCTGATTTTCATTACAGTGAAGTAAACCTAGAGTAACTACCTCAGTGACAGGTAGATTAGGCCACAGTAAATGAGATCAGAATCTGAGTGTAGGTTATTCCATCGCAAAGAGCTTGTGAATATAGCAGAAGGCTGGATCCACAGGGAAAGGCTGTTTCTCTCTGTGGTGCACAACTCACTAGTGTTGTGTTGCCCCTATGTCACTGAGCATAGGGAAGGCCAGGTTCAGATTCTGTATAGTTTCTGAAGTCAGGAATAAAACCGACTGACCTGAATTTCATTTTATCTGCTTAATATACTCATTTTTAATGAGGCTGAAGATAAGCAAACAAATGAACAAATGCTTATAATAATAGCCCTCTGCAAACACACAGAATACTGACACAAGTTACCAATAACAGTGAGTGCACAGAATTGAGGATTTTATAGTTAAAGTTCACTCTACACTAGGGAAACAATTTGTAAGCTAATATCAAACACATACACCTGTATCTTTTTATCATATCAGTAAAATTATTACTGATTATATTAGTTCACAAGTACGTAATGCAGATTTGCTGACTGAGCAGCAGTGAATGGTGGGTGATTTTTAACAGGACAGGAATAGTTTGAGCTGAGAGTTTCTATGGGGTGAAATAAACAGGAATGCAGAAGTTTGTTTTCTCTTGTTCTTTTTCTTTTTTCTCCAAAACAGTTCTATCACACTAAAACTCCAGCAATGGAAAACAAATTGTATTTTTAAGTTGTCTCATCCAGCCAGGACATGCTAACAGTAAAACTTTAGGCTATATTGGCTCGATTTTAATAGTTCATAGTTTCCTTAAAAAATAAATCATCTTAGTGCAGACAAAACTTGGAGAATTTTGGATAAATCTGAGAGCAAGTTTTAACATTGTGAATATTTATAATTTCCCTCCAGTTCCATTTGGTGCTATGTTTCTTGCTATCTGTCTAACATAGTTTCATTGTGCTGTTAAGGTCCTGAAAGCAATTGCCATCTTTCATTCCAGAAACAGCTGAATTACAGCAACTGTTGAATTGGTTACTAGATGGCATTTCTTTTGTGTATCAGTTTGTAAAGTGATTTGTAGCCAGCTGGGTCCTAAAATGCATACTATTATTACACTTTCAACAAAACATAGTCACTAGAAACTAGCTGACATGTAAAGCAGTTAGTTGTAGTTTAATTCCTGTTCTGAGCAAAAGTAGCATGATTTCAGAACTGTCCTTTGCAGAAGGTCACTAGGATGTTTTCTAAAATCACATTACCCGAGATGGGTCTGTGGCTGTAATTCACAGTGTGGGTTTGGGTTTTTTTCATCTCCTCCCAAAATCGTAAGCAATGTACTAATCAACAAACGGCAGGAATATACACTGCACTGAGGAAGTGCTGTCTAGATGGGCTGAAAACACTCAGACCAAAATCAACATGTGCGTTACTTGCTAAGTGGCTTTTCGCAACACAGTCATATGAAATATCTAATGTGTGACCCTCATTAGCAGCTTAGACTCCAGGTGAAACCTAAAATGTGGACTTCATGTTTTTGAAGCTACAAGTTGCCAGGATGAACCTACCGCAGCGCCCACCTCTCCCTGTGCCCCGCAGTACAGGCGCTTGAGCTGAGCTCTGTTTGTACAGATGCGAAGCAGTTGCCAGAAGAGTGCAGTCTTCAAGGGATTTGTGATTTTAGTATTTGCTTCCTCCTTCAACTTAAATATCGCAGCTCCACTGACATTCCTTAAACACCGTACATTGGAAAATGAGACAACAGGGGTGGAAAGGAGACAGAAGGACACAAATGTGAGAAATGGAAACACTGAGCTTTTAAGTTGCTGGACTTGCTAGTGGGGAGCACTGAATTGTGAAAAATATATGGCTGCATTTAGAAAACCAGAGCTTTACATTTATGGCAAGAACACCCCAAGGTACAGAACTTTCTTTCCATTTTCAGGAAACTATATACCTGCATTTGGTATCTGAGTACAGGGGCTTTTTATGGATTGACAGCACTAGGAGAAATGTAAGAGATGCGCTCTTCTGGGCATCCGACTGAATATGCGTAGGAGTGAAGCACGGAGGGGAGATGACGACCCAGAATCTTACAGTAAGGTTGAGCATGAGTCTTCAGCAGCTTTTACAGTAATACGCAATCTCATATAAAACAAATAAACAAACAGAAAAACCCCCTGACCTCTTGACTGGAAAACAGTGGAAATGCAGAATATTTATTAAAACCTGAGCTTATAGAAAGTGTTAATTGTAACGTCTGCTTCCTGGTGCTTCACTCCCAGGGGCCTTTTCTGGGGCCATCAGTCCTTCCCGGCCTGACTGACTCTCTCAGCCAGTTGTAGTAGACTTTGGATGCTGTAAACTTTCCAGCTAACTTGAATTATTATTTTTTTTCTGACTCCTCACATAAGTAGGTGTTTAATTTACATATATTTGTCCAGAAAGCAGGATTTCTGCTTCCTCTGAAGGACAATTTGGATAGATTTAGAAGCTGTTGTTCTGCCTTTAGACTTACTACAGCTCCAGGAAAACACTCCTTAACTTTAAAAAGACTTCCTCTTTAGTTTTCTGGTCTGTTGAAATTCTATGACTTTTACTATAGCTTTTGGAAATTCTAAGTAATGTGTTTATCTGCCTTAAGTGATTGTACTGAGGAGGAAATATCTGCCCAGAGATCCTTCAGTATTCTGTCTCAAGGTCAGTGTGAGCCATTTTTTTGGAGTCCTTGTCTACCTCTCTGCTAGAAGTCTTGCCATTTTACCTGCTTTGAGTATCCTCAGAAATAGTAACACTTAGCGACGCTGAAAAAATGTGTTCCAAACTTAAAAAAAAGAAAATTGTCTGCCAGGCAATGACATGGTCCTTCTTCAAAATGTATCCCGTATGGCTTTTTCTTGCCAAGATCATTTAAATGTGGTAGCAGCTACAGCAGGAAACTTGCCGTGCTTATAAATACACAAAACAACTACTCCACCCTACTGAGCTTGCTGAGAATTCAGGAGTTCGGTCAAGAGTGAATTTTATGTCAATACTGGCAGCCAGCAGGATTTCTGAGACAGAAAAGCAGCTGCATTTCCCTTTGGAAGCATCTTCTATTTTGAAACATTTTGTCTCAGAAATAAGTTTATCACTTCTCAGTGAAAATTTTTATAAGAGCGACAACAGCAAATTTTTCTTTTCATTCTGAAACCACTATGAAACTATGATTTTTAAAAATTCTTTTGCTAAGAAATTAGTTTGGGTTTTTTTTTTTTGTTTCTTTCCTGGCAGGCTTGTTGACCTGATTCAAGCACTGAAGATTTGTTGTTGTCTGAAATGATTTCAGTCTTTTTCCTTCATTTTATGCACTTTAATGAAGGGAGGTGGGTGTTTGCACTCAGCCCAGCTCTGCGCTGAGGTCCAGTGGGCGCAGCCCTGGAACGTGCGCTGCTCCCCGTTGGTGGGAATCCATCATTAGGAGGCTGACACAAAAGTTTACTTTTCAGTCTCATAAGACCCCAAGTGGTGATTCACCTACACATCCAGGTAATAGTCAGCCCTGCATTTCTAAAGATTTCCAGGGGTTAAAATCTGGGAAAACACAACTAATTTGAGTTGCCAGTTCTATATTCCATGCCACTTTGAAAATCAGGTTAGGGTCATCATTGACACCAAAGAAATTTTTGGTTACAGTATATCAAAAGCATCATGCTGGCACCTCTGGGAATCAGCAAAGCTGAGAACAGGACTCTCACAGAAGGATATGAAGTCATTAATTCTTGTTTTCATTACATCTCAGCTGGATTTTTGTAATTCCTTTTGTCAGCCTTGCAGCCTCTGTATGGGTAGCATTGCTATCAAGGAGCTTAAACATGTATTTGATTGCCTTGTCTTCGCACAAGACAACAGCATGGCACCATTTTCACTCAATCTCCATCCTTAAAGTATTGCCAACAGAAGAATCAGGGTGCTGGCTGTAACTAATAATAGTAAAGCGTTGTCTTCCCTAAGGAATATTACTGTGTCGATACATGAGAGGAAGAAGCTAAAATAACCCATGGGATTTAGGCATTTGCAGAGAGAGGCGAAGCCTGACCGAGACTGATGGAGTGAGAAGAGTGATTTCTTTTTGTCTAGCCAAACAACCACACAGTCACAGCATTACTCTCATCATTTGACCTCATTCGGACTCTAATCCTAATTCAGCTATGCTTTGGAGTAATGGTGCAAAATTAATTAATGACAATACAGGAGTTTCTAAAAGTGATTCTTCCTTGGAAACTCTTTCTCTCAAAGTAGAAGAAATGCTATCAAATGTAGCTGATAGGTCGCTATCTGTTTGCCACATACACTGCAAAACTACAGGAGCCTGGAAAGCAAAGTATCCCAACAGCAATATGTCTTATATTTGAAAGACAAAACTACAAGGTCTCACTGGAAGAATATGACTCACTTTTCTTTTATGAGATTGCTATAATTACAGTATTTGTTACTGCAAGCACAACAGCCTCTTACGGAAAGGTATGCGATTGTTCTGCAGAGAGCTCCCAACAAGATAACCGTAGACAAATCTTCATATCGAAAACTCTGTCCTCAGCTGAACAGAATGGAAAGGACTGAAC